TGGAAGGAATCGAGAGTGAAGAGGAAGAGATGGGGCTAAGCAAGAGCCCCCAATTACGAAACCCATCTTCTCCGCAAAGTATTTGGAGATTGGAAATGTGTGGCAAATGGCAAATCCGATAAATCACTGACCCAAAAACCACCGAGACAAAACCAAATAAAGGAGCTTCCTTTTGTGTACATTTTCCTTAATCAAAGATCGAATTTTTTTTTTCTGGAGTAGTTCGGTGCTTTGTGAACATATAAACCAATCAAAAATTGCCAGCTTAGAATTTCCCTGCCTCGTTATCCAAAGCCTTGTGATGCATCAACACGTGATGGTCACGTGCGTCTTCTTCACTCTCACCCTAATTTTCTCTCTTATGATTGGATTTCTTTTCAGCCGTTCTCTGTGTCTGACTGCTAAAACCACCGACGGTGACTTGATTTACCGGAGTTTGTCTCCACCGGAGTAGTTAAGAACTTTTTGTAAAGATGGTGTACATATCGGCTCGATCCATTTTCGCGAAGCGAAGCGTCTCAACTCTACCTCACCTCTCTCAGAGATTTAAACAAACAGGTAATCTGCACAATTTTGTTCTTCTTAAACCTATTCGCCGATAAACGAAATGCCTTGTCGAAGTTGATGGTTAAGGGTCTTACGAGAAAACGGATTTGAAAAAAGTCTAAATTTTTCAGTTCCTTTGTAGAAGAAAACGAGAAATGGTTTTGCTTGACTCATCCATGTGTTTTTTCTGGAATTTGCAGAGAGTGAGATTGTTCAAATGTTTAGTCTTCCAAATCATGAGGAATCTGAGAAACCGCAAGAGAAGTGGAAATTATCTAAAAAGGATCCATCAGTGAGGATGTTGGATGAGAGATTCATAAGGATACTGAAAATCTTCAAATGGGGACCTGATGCTGAGAAAGCCCTGGAGGTGCTTAAACTGAAAGTGGATCATCGATTAGTTCGTTCGATTCTGGAGATAGACGTTGAGATAAATGTCAAGATTCAGTTTTTCAAATGGGCTGGTAAAAGAAGAAACTTTCATCATGATTCCTCTACTTACATGACCTTGATACGTTGCCTTGAAGAAGCTAGGCTTTATGGCGAAATGTATAGAACGATACAAGAGGTTGTCCGTAATGCATATGTTAGTGTCAGCCCAGCGGTACTCTCTGAGCTTGTGAAAGCATTGGGACGAGCTAAGATGGTTAGTAAAGCTTTGTCGGTTTTTTACCAGGCGAAAGGACGCAAGTGCAAACCCATGTCGAGCACTTACAACTCGGTAATTCTGATGCTGATGCAAGAAGGACAGCACGAGAAAGTCCATGAGGTTTATACTGAGATGTGTAACGAAGGTGACTGTTTTCCAGACACGATTACTTACTCTGCGCTTATTTCCTCGTATGAAAAATTAGGTCGTAATGATTCTGCAATAAGGTTGTTTGATGAGATGAAGGATAATTGTTTGCAGCCGACAGAGAAAATATACACCACGTTGTTGGGATTATACTTTAAGGTAGGGAAGGTTGAGAAGGCTTTAGATCTTTTCGAGGAAATGAAACGAGCAGGTTGCTCGCCAACTGTTTATACTTACACAGAACTGATAAAGGGACTTGGTAAAGCAGGGAGGGTAGAAGAAGCATATGGTTTATATAAGAATATGCTTAGAGATGGATTGACTCCTGATGTTGTGTTCTTAAACAATCTGATGAACATTTTAGGCAAAGTGGGTCGAGTAGAGGAGTTGACAAATGTCTTCAGTGAGATGGGAATGTGGAAGTGTACTCCCACTGTTGTTTCATACAATACCGTGATTAAAGCTCTATTTGAGTCGAAAGCTCCTGTTTCTGAAGTGACTTCTTGGTTTGATAAGATGAAGGCAGACGGTGTTTCCCCTAGTGAATTCACTTACTCAATCCTTATAGATGGTTATTGCAAAACAAATAGAGTAGAGAAGGCTCTGTTGCTTCTTGAGGAAATGGATGAGAAAGGTTTTCCACCTTGTCCTGCGGCATATTGCAGCCTCATAAACGCTCTTGGAAAAGCGAAACGGTACGAAGCAGCAAATGAGCTATTTAAAGAACTAAAAGAGAATTTCGGGAATGTAAGTTCTCGAGTATACGCTGTGATGATCAAACATTTTGGGAAATGCGGGAAGCTCAGCGAAGCTGTAGATCTCTTCAATGAGATGAAGAACCAAGGAAGTGGTCCGGTGGATGTTTATGCTTACAACGCCCTTATGTCGGGAATGGTGAAGGCTGGTATGATAAATGAAGCTAATTCGTTGCTTAGAAAGATGGAAGAAAACGGTTGCATCGCGGATATAAACTCGCATAATATCATCCTCAATGGATTTGCTAGAACAGGTGTGCCAAGGCGGGCTATAGAAATGTTTGAAACCATGAAGTATTCTGGTATTAAGCCTGATGGCGTCACGTATAATACTCTCCTTGGATGCTTTGCGCATGCCGGAATGTTTGAGGATGCAGCAAGAATAATGAGAGAGATGAAAGATAAAGGCTTTGTGTATGATGCCATCACTTACTCATCAATACTTGACGCTGTTGGTAATGTGGATCATGAACAAGATGTTTCATCTTTGTAAGTGGTGAGAAGCTGAAAAATTGCTACTTTATTTCATTTCTTACACACATTGCATTTGTATAGACTTCATAAACAAAACAAAAATATTCAATCACTGACTAAGCAGCACGTGATTAGTCGTAATCCTCGCCTTTTATAGGGGTATTAACCACTAATGATTCACATGATTATCAATGGTTTTCTCCGTTTATCTTTTGCATAAGCAAATGCTAAAAGCTCTTACTCAACAAAGCTCTTACACAACATAATGTCTTTGATGTCTCATTGTTTAGTCTAATGGAAGTTTAATGTATGGTTTAAGAAATATATAAACACTTTGAATCCAAAACTGATTACGAGAAAGAAGCTGATCAAGGAGTATAAGTAAGATTGAAAACCTTAGAAGAAACAACAAATCGAGAAGAAAAAGACTTGGAAGACACATCAGAGGATCATCGTGATACGCGATGGTGCAAAGTTTTGGGAATAAGTGAAAGGATCATAACGAACACGATGATCAAAAATCTGAGTCTTCTTCTTTTGCTTCATCATCATTATCTTCCTCCACATCAATCTCCATCCTGAGATCTTCCTCAATCTCAAAACATCTTCAGACAGATGGTTGATCTGATCATAACCACATGTTTTCAAACATATTTGTTGTTTCTTGTCGATTCCTAAACTGCATAGCATCTTAAGAATCATAGATGCATCTTAAGAATCATAGAAGACTTTACAAAGAAACAGAGGAGAAACTTTACCAGAGATACAAATGAAAAGTTGTATGCATCCACTCTTTGGTTAGTCAACCAGTAGTCTAGAAATGGTCCGACCAACAACAACGATGCAGCTTGTACTGGAACGGTATGCGCTAGTAAATTGAAAGAACCGAGCGAATATATTTCCGTTGTAGATAATGTACATACTGCAAAATGTAGAAATCAGATTTCTATTTTGGTTTACAAGCTAAATTAGATCATTAAAAGATGGATCTGTAGATCGGGATCAGAAAAACATGATGAATTTGACCATCATCTGTTCCGAATTTGACAATAGATTCAATTTCAGGCATATGATCTAATATGTATACTTACGTAATTGCTGAAGCGCGGTGCTCCAGACAGCAATAGCGGCAGCAAGAAATCCGTTGAGATTGACACTAACATCGGTTACAGTACAGACAGCAACACCAGCAAGAACTAAGCTTTGTATCTCTTGAATACCTGACATTATCAAGAACAACTTCTAGAAGACAAGAAACTGGTATCATACTCAGCTTCGCAATCTGCAAATTTCAACACAATCGTTTCAACATTTCCCGAAACAAAAAAAACTACACTAAAAATGAAACGAAATCCTCATCGAGAAAGAGCTGACCTGGTAGAATCCGACAGAATTCCACATCAGACTCACGTTCATCCCAACGATCGAGAAATTTGCGAACAAAACTAATTTTAAAAGATCAGGCCACGGAAGCTGAGAAGGTTGAACATAACCAAGCCATGTCAAGAACGTTGTCAACAATGTCGTCGTTCCGAAATGCAAACCAGTTAATGTTGTAGCTGTATATCATCAGAATCATAAACAGATCTTAAAAAAAGACCAGTTTAGTGTTGTTGAAACAAGTCAACCACAGTTGACTATTTTCAGGTGAGAGACAAAAAAA